AGGAATTAGGAATTTGGGAAATTAGAAATCGGGGAATTAGGAATTCGAGAAATTAGAAAACAGTAAATTAAAAACTGAGAAATTAGAAATTTAATAATCTAAAAAACTAGAAACCATAAATTTAGTAATTTAGAATCTCCCAATTAAAAATTTTAAAACTCAAGCCTTCAACGAATCGAAAATCCGAAGCTAGCAAATTTAAAAATTTCATATTCAAAAGTCCATCAAAACAAGAAATTGTACGATACGAGTTACATACGCATCGATGTCGATATACCACGCACCGTATAGCCACGGGTAAGATCGCAATACGATCGGTTGAAAAAAAATGGGAACGTAACAACAGCGTGCTCCCTGTGCTCCCCGTAAATTCATGTTACACGAAGCAAAACTCGAATTAAGCTAAAAAATTCCATTTCCAGAAACGAGATTTCATTGGGCGAGCAAAACAACTGAAACCCGTTGTTGTTTGTTTCGGCTGGAGCACGAATCTACATTGAAAGCATTGTTCCGCGCCATGAGGTTGGAATTAAATATACCCGTGGAAAATAAAAACGGTAATTGTTAACGGTAAAAACGGCAGTCAATACCGAACGAAGTGTACGGGCTGGTTTTCAGCGAGCGAATGTTAGTCGGTTCGTTATTTAGCGTTATTTCGAACAAAACGTGCGGCCAGAAGTCAATATTCCTGGATATCGGGTATAACGAGTAAAATATTCTTTGTTCATATTGAACAGAGCTCTATGGTGAATACGAGTCGTTTATTGATCACACAGCCCATTTCGTTCGTTAATATTCAGGGTAAATAGGGGAAGATTGCCGTCTTTTGTGCACAGAAATTCATTGGTAATATTTTTAATAAATGTAATTATTAGAAACAGATCTCTGCAAATATTAGCTATGTTATCGATGCAAATTGCGTACGGATGAGTCAACAGGGTTGACCCACTAAACGTAATTCAGAATTCAAATATTATTACATATATTTAGCGTATCATGTGTGTTATAATATTATTAGAACGTTCTCATTAATCTTATGAAATGTAAATGGAGTTTGTTTTATTTAACTCCTTTTGATGAGAAGATTATACTTTATACTTTTCTACTTCTGACGCCATATTTGTTTTCTGTACAAGTTTTCAGATTTTAACTTTCGAAAAATTTACCTCAGCTACCAATTTATATATTTATTATTTAATTGTGTATTAGCATCACAATTGTGAATATATACAATACAAGATGGATGCCAATCGATACAAAATGGAGGACTCTGTACCGTCGAAGGCTTAACCTCAATCTGTCAATTGACATATCAGTTTCTCATTTTAACTATATATCAGAATAATATTTGCGAATATTTAAAATACATCAAAACAAAATGGAGTGCTTTTTTCTATTGAAAGTTTAACCTCAATCTTTCAATTGACGTATCAATTTCTTATTTTAATTGTATTTTAGTATCACAGCTGTGATTGCATAGAAAGCATCGAAACAAAATGGAGTACTCTTTAATATCAGAAACTTAACCTCAATCTGTTAAGTGACATATCAATTTCTTATATTAATTGCATGTTAGTATTATAGCTGTGAATGCATAGAACACATCAAAACAAAATGGCGTACTCTATGCCATCAAAAACTTAACCTCAACATGTCAATCAACATATCAATTTCTTACTTTATTTGAATATTAGTATCATAGTTGTGAATGCACAGAATGCATCAAAACAAAATGGAGTACTTTTTAATATCAAAAACTTAACCTCAATCTGTTAAGTGACATATCAATTTCTTATTTTAATTGCACGTTAGTATTATAGCTGTCAATGCATAGAACACATCAAAACAAAATGGCGTACTCTATACCATCAAAAACTTAACCTCAACATGTCAATCAACATATCAATTTCTTACTTTATTTGAATATTAGTATCACAGCTGTGAATGCATAGAAAGCATCAAAACAAAATGGAGTACTTTTTAATATCAGAAACTTAACCTCAATCTGTTAAGTGACATATCAACTTCTTATTTTAATTGCATGTTAGTATTATAGCTGTCAATGCATAAAACACATCAAAACAAAATGGCGTACTCTATACCATCAAAAACTTAACCTCAAAATATCAACCAACCTATCAATTTCCTATTATATTTGAATATTAATATCGTAGTTATAAGTGCATACATCGAAATAAAATATAATTCTCTGACTAAAAAGTTAGGTTACAAGAACACTATACATATATTACAGGTTAAGTTACTATAATCAAAAGTCAAGAATAAAAAATTTCGTGTTTTCGTACAACAGAGAAACGCGAGTGTACAATGCAGAATGGAAAAAAGTCTTCCTTTGTTGTAGCAAGAAATTGTGTAGACGAAATGGATCTACGAAGGTGGAAAAGGAAATGGAGCAAGCTCCTATCACGATAGGGGACGCGATAAGTCATCCTCACGGCTGGAGACTTGTTGCGTGAGCAGACGCCGTGGAACCGTGGAAACCAAGATCGGAGCTTTTTATTTATGATAGTACGTGAATCGTGGCCCTCGAAACACTGATATTTACACAAATCACGGCGGAGAACGCAACAGTACTGGTATGCTAACGGAAACGATCGTATCACGCGATAAATCGTGAACGCGTTACATCTGATTAAGTTACCAGCATGAATTTCTGCGCTTATTGGCTCGTGCTTGGTAATTTTGCGGAGAATACGTAGGAGTTGAAATATGTTTTGTACATTTTTTGGTGTGCATTGTAGTTAATTGGTTAAGTAATTAGATCAAGTTTTATGGTAATTAGGTGAAATTGGAAGGTAGGGAATTTTGTTATTTTGAGATTTAGGATTTAGGGATTTAGGGATTTAGGGATTTAGGGATTTAGGGATTCACAAATTTAGAAATTTGGAGACTTGGGATTTTGGAGACTAGGGAATTTTGTTATTTTGAAATTTAGGATTTGGGGATTTGGGGATTTGTAGATTCAGGGATATAGGGGTTTAGGAATTTGGATACTTGAGAATTTTGGAATTTGGAAAAATTGAGAATTCGGAGACTAGGGAATTTTGTTATTTTGAGATTTAGGATTTGGGGAGTTAAGGAATTTGAAAAATAGAAATTTAGAAACTCAGAAATATAGCAGTTCAGAAATCTCGAAATCTTGAAATCTAAAAATCTAAAAACCATTATTACAACAGTACCATCCCTTACGCATCCTCACCCCCTTCATAATTGTCCATCAACAAAAGATCAAAGCGCACTTTTATTTCGATTTGATTAACAAGTAGGTAATTCCACGCGAGAGCAAGCTTGTTCCACAGAAGATTGGTTCGTACAGTTTAATATAAGCGAAGTGAAATTCTCTTGGTTTTAGCTTTGCAATACGGTAAAAGCGCACGATTAGCTCGCAGGTTATTTCAACATCGTAAAGCACGTGCCCCGAACGTCGTTGAATGCGTTCACCTTCGGAGGCTATTTTATATGCATATTCCAACACCGCTGAGAATAGATTTCGTTATCTCGAAAGAAAAATGGATTGCGCTGTTTGAAATATGTATTTCCATTAGCTTTTGAAATTGTACACCCGAGCGTTTTGTACTACAATATGCTACTTTTAAAAATGAAACCTTACTATTTGACGAGGAATTTGTATGATTCCTTTTTTCTCTTTGTTCGTCTTAAGAAGTCCCTTGGATATTATGAAAAGAATTATGCGTCCCATCTCGACGGGTCGGAGTCTTAATATTTCATTAACTTAATGAAGATTCTTTTACTGGGCTACTTGCTTTTATGCAAGAGTTTATGAATTAAATGAAATGTTTAAATTCTGATGAACTTCATAATTTGTAGATTTAATATTTAATTAAATATGAGCTAATGAATGATTTTAATATGAGGTGTTTCATAATTAGTACGTCCCTGAAGTGGTAGCTGACGCGATTCTGAATAAGATTTCCCTTTGCGAAATTGGGATTTGAAACATATTTTTTGAATTATTAAGGAAAAATGCGGACCAGTCAGAGCGCGAGGGTTACGCACGCGCAGACGCGAGAACGGCAGCTTTGGATAACGCGTAGTTATCCAACGCGTGGTAATCCAACGCGTAGTAATGCAACGTGTGGTAATGCAACGCGTGGTAATCCTACGCGTAGTAATCCAATGCGTAGTAATCCAACGCGTACTAATACAGCGTGTGGATATCCAACGCGTAGTAATCTAGCGCATGCATATTCTGCGCGTAGTAATCCAATGCGTAATAATGCAACGTGTGATAATTCTAAGCGTAGGAATCTAATGCGTGGTAATTCAACGCGTAGTAATGCAACGTGTGGTAATGCAACGCGTAGTAATCCAATGCGTAGTAATCCAACGCGTACTAATACAGCGTGTGGATATCCAACGCGTAGTAATCTAGCGCGTGCATATTCTACGCGTAGTAATCCAACGCGTAATAATGCAACGCGTGGTAATTCTAAGCGTAGGAATCTAATGCGTGGTAATCTAACGCGTAGTAATCCAGCATATGGATATCCAACGCGTAGTAATCCAACGCGTAGATATTCGACGCGTAGTAGTCCAACGCGTAATAATCCTCGCGCTCTGATTGGTCCGCGTTTTTCCTTAATAATTCAGAAACGAAGCTTCAAACCTCATTTTTGCAAAGGGAAATCTTATTCAGAATTGCGTCAGCTACCCCCCATTTCTACACTAGTTGTGAGACACTCCGACAACTAGTGTATCAATTCGACTTATCAATTCGAATATTAAACAAATAAACATAAAAAATATTATACAATTGCTAACAATACCAAATTTAAACATTACATTTAACTTCTAAAATTTTTCTAACCTCAACTTTTCAAACACGAAAACCAAAATGTCCCGTAATATAAAAATACAAGTATACCTAAATTCCTCCTAAATAATCCGATTAATAAAGAAATGATTCACGTTCCAAAACCTCTTTAAATCCCCTTTCTCCCCTTCCCGTGACCAGAACTTGGATCTCCAGTTGCCGTAGGAGTTTCGGTTGTTCACAAAAGCCGCTGGTTACGATATCCGATGGACGGTCGTCGATTCTCGTCGGAAGGAAGCTTTGTCATCTTGTTCGAAGGATTCTGAACCCCCCTTTAAACCCTCTTTCGCCACGAACAGCCGAACTCTCGATACCCTATCTCTGCGGTCATTGTATGCAAATCTATTCCATTCGTGGAATCGAACTGGCCTTTTTCTGATGTCTAGCTTGATAGCCGCGAGAACGATCCTCGATGCTATATATCGAGATGGTTTCACCGTTCCGTGCTTTCCGGTATAAACGTACAGCTAGCGAAAAAGAAACCAGGACACACATTCGGCAAGGATCTATGAATTTTATGCACGGGTCAGAAACGTTCCGAGAGGATGTTGGTGTGCTCGGATGTCTCCCTATCACGACCTAGTGAAACACATTCGATTCGGTTGCATTATGTTCCTGCCCTATTGTGCATGCGGCTGTTAGCCTCGATATCGGGAAAATGGTTCCTTAGGGAGCAATGCTGACCGCTTTTAACCCTACTGCGTCTCTACAATCGTGTTCGCAATTTATTTACCTATTTTTCATTTTATCTGGCTGGTTGCTGCAAAATGGGTCATTTATGATTTTTTTTTAGATTCATGTTTATCGACGTTTTTAGGCAATTGATATTTTTGTAGGTTAGGAATTTGTATTTTAGGGGATGATGGTTATTTATGTTGTTATGTGTTATTATAGTATGTTGTTATGTGTTATTACAGTATGTTATTATGTGTTATTATAGTATGTTATTATGTGTTATTATAGTATATTATTATGTGTTATTATAGTATGTTATCATGTGTTATTATACTATGTTATTATGTATTATTATAGTATGTTATCATGTGTTATTATACTATGTTATTATGTATTATTATAGTATGTTATCATGTGTTATTACAGTATGTTATTATGTGTTATTATAATATGTTATTATGTTATTACATTATGAGTTATGTTTATCCAGTTTAGACGATCCTTGCTGTTACTTATGATTTGTTTGAAGACGTACATTTTCGTCCACCATAATTGCACCCAGTTTAAATCTATCTACTTTAGTTCATCACAATTAAAAATTATTTATAAATATACAATTCAGTTCATTGTTTTTATGAATTGTATAAAACCTTTCCTAATAATAGTGCAATATATGAATCTCTCCAAAATAGTAAGAACGTAAAACGTTTCAACCGAACCGTAAATACGTAAAAGGACGAAGCAAAATGGAGTCCAGTTATCATTCCCTATCGTTCTCCCGTAACAATCGGTTCGGTCCATTTTTGCCAGGTCTCCTGTAAAATCACGTGCCGGTAACCGAACGTTCTTTACCGTTGCAGAATGGTTATCGCCTCGATATAACGGAGGAACAAGGCGACCAGGACCGCGGTGGCTCGATCGAGCGTTGTAACGACGAAACAGAATGCAAATTGCGCAAGCGTGTATAGTGTACACGCACATGCACTATATGTACTCACTTTTGTTTCTCGCAGGCTTCAGACAGTAAAAATTTGACGGCGACGAGACGCTTGCCGACGCTGGTCGTCGTTCCATACTCTGGGATGCCTTCTGCTTCTGCCACGTACACCTTTATGGACATAATTTGTTCACATGAGAACCGCTTTTAATATTGCTGTGATATTTAATTTATATTAACATGACTGCGGCCATAAATGCAGTGGAGTGATCATAATGTCTGTTGTATAACATTTGCATAATTAGAAATTGCATAATTTCATTAGAAAATGGCGGAGGTAATTACAAAGTCACAACCCTGGCGAGTTCGTTCAAACTTTGCACAATAACAAAGTATACTAAAGATAATAATACTACAAAATTATAGCGTGCAACTTTGCAAAATAAGGACAAAATGAGTGTCTAAAATCGCTTATGACTTATACAATGTAGCTTGAGAAAGATATGAACAGAACAGTGTATCATAATCTAATGAAACAAGTGTGATAAACCAAAGACAAGCTTAAAACTCGTGCAAATTATACAAATATCATTTTCATTTTTGTTTTGGACACCAATTTTGTTCTTATTTTGCAAAATTACACGCTATAACTTTGTAGTATTATTATTTTCAATGTACTTTATAATTGTACAAAGTTTGAACCAAATCGATGATGCAAAGTTTGTGCCTTTCAAAACTACATCACCTAAGAATGAAATTTCTTCTGATATTTCCATGTTGTTCGAATCGTTTCAATCGCGAAGTTACAGCCAACGATAAAAGCATCTTATAAGATCATCCGCAATATAACGAGAGTCAGTACGAACAAAAACCCTTTGGATCATAGCGGTCGACCGGTATGCGCGTTAATCGAGGAACCAGGCTGCCGCAGCTCGTTAGAGCCATAAATTCATCTAACGAGAATGGATGATCCCTGAATTTGATTATTCGTCGCTGGCGAATTTATCGCGCAACTTTCACGCGGGACAGGTGTATTCATCGGTGGAAGGTGCTCGTTGGCTGCGGGAAGCCGGACAGGAAGTCAGATAAACGACTAGCGAACACGACTATGCTCGGTGAACCTCCATATTCCTCGGTTAGGAATTTTGCAATTTTCCGCCGGTGGTACGATCGCGATACCGATCAGACTGCGGAGGAACGATTAATTTCGCGTTTGATTCGTGGTCGAGATTGACGGCGATCGGACTTGATGTAGACCATTGATTATTGATACCTGTCGATGGGACTATCGATCGTTGGCAGTGCTTTGACAAATGGATTCTCAGGATTAGGAAATGGGAATTTTGGATATTAGGGGTAGGTGATATGCAGGGATTTATGAGATTTTGAACTGGTTGGATTAGGAGTTGATGAGAATTAAGGGATTTGGGGTATGTGGGATTTGGGGTATGTGGGATTTGGGATATGTGGGATTTGGCACATGTGGGATTTGGGATATGTGGGATTTGGGATATGTGGGATTTGGGATATGTGGGATTTGGGATATGTGGGATTTGGGATATGTGGGATTTGGGATATGTGGGATTTGGGATATGTGGGATTTGGGATATGTGGGATTTGGGATATGTGGGATTTGGGATATGTGGGATTTGGGATATGTGGGATTTGGGATATGTGGGATTTGGGATATGTGGGATTTGGGGTATGTGGGATTTGGGATATGTGGAATTTAGGATATGTGGGATTTGGGGTATGTGGGATTTGGGATGTGTGGGATTTGGCACATGTGGGATTTGGCACATGTGGGATTTGGGACGTGTGAGATTTGGGATATGTGGGATTTGGGATGTGTGGGAATTGGGATATGTGGGATTTGGGATATATGGAATTTGGTATGTGTGGTATTTGGGATGTGTGGGATTTGGGATATGTGACATTTGAGACTTATGAAATTTCTAATTTATAAAATTTAAAATTCCTAAGACTCTAAAGTCGATATTTATGAGATTCGACTCTTGTTGTATTCCACATTTGTGTAACGTGGAATTTATAGGATTATACAATTGTGAATATCACAGAAGCAATTCTTCGCAAACATACAAATCGAAAATTTAAAGATTCAGAAATACTCGAACCTTTACTAAATTACTGATTCGCAAATTTGACAATTTTCAAGCTTGTACTATATATCAACCAAATCAATAAGATTCCAATATTACCAATATCGATCGCGATACCAACAGTCAAAGCTGCACCAGATATCCGCAGATGCAGCATCAAGGCTGATGCAGCCAAAACGCGGCAGCGTCTCTTGGACCGGTCATTAACGGGCGTGCCGTCGCCCGAACAGGAAACAAAAGGGAATTATTAGCCGCTCTAACGCATTCTAAACTGATTATCCTCGACGAGCCAGACGAGGCGCTATTGTGACGGGAAGAATAACAGGGTGGACACTTCGTTAATCGACGTATTGTTGCGAGCAGCCGGTGGCGAATTGCCCGCGTACGGCCAACAAACGGATTGATTTCTCTCTCTTTCTCTGTCTATCTCTCTCTGTTGCTGTACCAGCCGTTGGTCACCGAGCAAGGAAAGCTGCAGTGTGGTACCGTTCGCGAATCGATGTGCAATCGATGCTGCTACGATTTCTCTGTCGTTTGTCGCTCGACTGCTCGCGATACCATCGCGCAGTTCGTTCGCAATATCGGCTGTTTGTAATTTAACACTCTCGATGCTGTTCCGACACAGTATGGCTACTAGCCAGGTAAAACGACACTTTCGCTGCTAGTGGATTATCATAACGTTATGGGATATCTTCAGATGGGATACCTTCAGATAGTGTAATAATACAGCAAGATTTGCAAGGACTTCCATACTCCTGCATTTCGATTATGATGAAAGCAGCAATTGTGAAGATTTTGGGATACGAAGAATTCCAGAGACGTACGGATCTGGGGAAGACGTTAAAAACATAAGGACATAGTGACACGAATGGTATATCCAGAGATGTGAACATCAATAGTATGGAAATTTAGAATATGTGAAACTAGGAGTATCTGTGGATCTGGAGACGTGGATGCAGGAATGTACAGCTATGGTTAGCATCTGGGTATCTAGGTATCGCATGATCTAAGGGTTTATCGGTTTAACTAGCTCAGAATTTACAAAATTTGGGATTTGTGAATTTAGGTTTGGATTTGATGATTTAATGATGCAGGGATGATGTGTGGACGTAGAGGCTGGGTATCTGAGGATTTAGGAATTTCCTCAATTTTAGGATCTACTAGTGGAGTCCTGTCTAGTATCATAGTCTAGGAATTAGCTCAATATAGGGATCATATGATGTTAAACTAATATAAACATATGTGGACATGTGTTATAGCTTCAGGTCCACATGTAGCTGCTTACAGACATGTCTATTTTGAAACTGCAACTTTTCCCAACAAAATGGCTAAACAAACTAATTCATGTAACTAAAACTAATTCATGTAACTAAGTGACCGAAAGATCTCCAAGTGACATCTCAAGTCCACAAAGCTTCAGAAACCATCCATCCATTATACATTTATCAGTAACTCCAACTTAGCAATAACCCTAAGGCTACGATTAAAAAAGTAATAATTTGTAACAATAAAGTGTAATAATTTGTTATCGAATCGAACAGAGGAATCGGACACGGTATTTTACCATGTCAAATTTAAAATAGACACGTGGTACGTAATAACAATGTCGTTACCGTTCCGTAAGCCCCTTCGCCAAGTTTCGAGAGCATGCGGAGGCGATGCCGTGGGAAGAGCGGGACGCTCGTCTGCTCCAGACGTCTCTTCAGGGCCGAAAGTACCTCCTGTTGAGTCGGCGACTGAAACAAGGAAAGAACAATGCGTCAGACGATAATTAACGATCTAGGATCACGCTAACCGCGGCCTGCGAGTGCCGCAGGTATTAGAGACCTAGCTCTCGGCCGATGGATGAATTATTCGATGATCCCACAGCTCGTAAATTCATCGTGATACATTGCAACGTCCCAATAGACTTACGATAATTTAAGTGGCAAAATTACTGGTATAAATTCGATCTATCTCGTCGACAACGTATTTCACGTGTGTCGATGCTTTTGTCGTTTCGCATCCTACGAATTTCGTGTTTGGTTGCTACGTTTGCTTTTAGTCAAATATACACTTTTTCGAATTTTTTGAAATATACACGTTTAGCAAGGTTTTTTGTATTTTTAAACTTTAAATTTTAAAGTGAATTTGTAAATCTTTGTAGTTTGGAATTCTATACTTTCATATAGCAGATGTGGATAATTTGAAAATTTTAATCTTACAAATTGTGTTCTCAAGTACCTGAATCCGTGGGTTTTCATGATTTCAGATCATGAATCATCTAAGTCTTTAAATTACCAAGTACCCAAATACTTAAGAGCCAAAAATCCCCCCAATTTTCCAAATCCCCCAAATTCTCTAAACTCCCCAAATACCCCAAATACTACAAATCCTCTGAATCCTCCAAATTTCCCAAATTTCCCAAATTTTCCAAATTTCCCAAATTATCCAAATCCTCCAAATCCTCCAAATCTTCCAATTCTCAAACACCCAAACTCCCAAATATCCCAAACCCTCCAAACTTCCCAAATACCACAAATTCTCTGAATCCTCCAAATTTCCCAAATTCTCAAACCCCCAAACTCCCAAATATCCCAAATCCTCCAAACTCCCCAAATACCACAAATCCTCTGAATCCTCCAAATTTCCCAAATTTCCCAAATTCCCAAATTCCCAAATTCCCAAATTCCCAAATTCCCAAATTCCCAAATTCCCAAATTCCCAAATTCCCAAATTCCCAAATTCCCAAATTCCCAAATTCCCAAATTCCCAAATTCCCAAATTCCCAAATTCCCAAATTCCCAAATTCCCAAATTCCCAAATTCCCAAATTCCCAAATTCCCAAATTCCCAAATTCCCAAATTCCCAAATTCCCAAATTCCCAAATTCCCAAATTCCCAAATTCCCAAATTCCCAAATTCCCAAATTCCCAAATTCCCAAATTCCCAAATTCCCAAATTCCCAAATTCCCAAATTCCCAAATTCCCAAATTCCCAAATTCCCAAATTCCCAAATTCCTAAATTTCCCAAATTTACCCTTTCCCAAATTTCCCAAATTCTCAAACCCCCAAACTCCCAAATATCCCAAACCCTCCGAACTCCCCAAATACCACAAATCCTCTGAATCCTCAAAATTTCCCAAATCTCCAAATCTTCCAAATTACCCCAATTCCCCAAACTTTCCAAATCCCCCAAATCCTCGAAATCCTCCGATCCTCCAATTCTCAAATCCCAAACTCCCAAATATCCAAAACCCTCTAAATTTCCCAAATCCTCCAAATTTTCCAAATCCCCAAAATCCCACCTGAAACTCCCAAAAGATCCCCCCATTCAAAATCCTAATTTCATCCATCCCCATTGCACACAATCCTCTCGATCGTACTCGAACGTTCATTGTTACCCATCAAATTCGACCAAAACGAAACAACAAAACGCAGATGCCGTTTCAAAGGAGCAAAGGACCGGTTGCACGTGACCGTATGACTTTCGACAAGGGTTCATTGTAAAATTGCATCCAGCCATCGATAACCACCCTAACCGTGTGTTTTCGAAGGACATTCGTTCCGATCTAATGACGGATCACACGGGGACAATGATTGGCGTCGCTACGATGCGTCAAGGCCAGACTCGACACGTCGTCCCGAAATGTTTTGACTGTTTCGAGTGGTGCCCTGTCGTCTGTCAATCACCCGCAGACGTCCCGACGTAGACGACCACTTTCACGGCATTGTGCTCGAATCAATCTGCCTGCACGAATCGTCCGATCCCAACGAAATCGTTCTGTCCCGTAGGAAACGTATCTTCGCACGGGGTTGAAACATCGTATTGCGTTGTTTGATTGAGAACTTACTTACTTTCAAATTTACAAATTTATGATTTTTAGGAGTCGGTGATATGTTAACCCCTTTACCTACAACTACGGGCATATCCCATAGTACGATCGTCGGGACATACTTTACTTTTACTTTTATTTATTCTCTTCATAGGAAGAGGGCGTCTGAGAGCTAATTCCTCCCAATTTGCCCGTGATCGGGACATATTACCTTCTCGAATGTAAATCGTAGGTTAAGGGGGTAATTTGAATATTTGAAGATATAAATGTGTTGTGGAGCAGGTAGGAATTTTGGAATGTGAGAAGGTGAGATTTGGAGTATGTGGACTTTGCGTGATCTGGAAAATGTGGAGGACGTGGAGATTTGAAAGGTATAGAAATATAGAAGCTTGCAGATCCCTTAAAATTGATGTGAGAATGAAATTTAAAGAATTTAGAAGAGAAAATTTTCAAAATATAAGAATTTGAGAAATAATTTTAATTAATTTACCAGTTAACGAAGTCTATGCACCTAACACTGGAGAAGCATTGGTCAGAGTAGCTGCAAAGGCAATGTAACACCGTGTTTACCCTGAATACCCCGGCTACAAACCACGGCTCTACAAGGGTTAAACAGAAGATCAATGGGAAGAGAATTCGACCCACAAACCCAGATCCAAATCCATTCAATCTCCCTGGCGAAGATATCGATATAAGAGAACAAATATTCGAAACGTGTTCTTGCGCAACGAGTTTCTGGGAAAAAATACAAACACGTATATCAGAGGGGTGGCGCGTCCTGACAGAAATAAATCACTGGCGGGCTACAAATTTCGCGCGGCGTATTTTTATTCCGGTAGATCGCCGCGGTGCGATTTAGGCGCAGGTTGCCGAATCAACCCTCTCGTCCCGTGTAATATTTCTGCGATGTCGGCACGCGCTAGTCGACAGAGGGGGTTGGACGCGACGGAAAGACAGAGACAGAGTGCGAAAACGGGGGGAGATAGGATTGCAAACGTGATTACACGACGCGCTTTCTCTCCGCAATTAACAGAGCGAACTGGCCCGGAAGCCACCGGACCGCGTAATGATGATACATTCCACGAGGGTTGTTCCGAGGGTAGTCGCGAAAGGGTTCACCCCGTTGACGGCACTTCGTTTATACGTCGACGAACCGATCAATCGAATGATTCTGCAGATTGGGCGGAAACGCTGTCCAACACGCGACACTTTATTCTGTTTGACAACGAATAACCCTCTGTTATACTTACCCCTGCGGGACAAACACCCTGCGGATATTTTCACTTTCTTGACCCCTGCGGCAATTAATTATGTATTGATACGACTGCGTTTTAGGTACTTTTGCTCTTTTGTTACTTTCAGTAGATTCATCTTTTATGGAAGGGATTATAATGATAAAATAGCTTGTTAATAAATTACTATTTCTTCCTTGAGGATGATTTAGTGGTTGCTAAGGATAATCCTTATCGAAAGAGAAGTACGATGGACTCACACTGTAATCTTTTATATAATTATGGTAGGTAATTTTTATCTTTGATCACTTCGACTTTCTTCACCTCTTATGTGAGTAAATATGTGCTGATAGAACAGCTTGTTAATAAATTGCTATTTCTTCCTTGAGGACAATTCAATGGTTGCTAAGGATAATCCTTATCGAAAAAGAAGTACGATGGACTCACACTGTAATCTTTTATATAATTATCGTAGGTGATTTTTATCTTTGGTCACTTCGATTTTTTTCACCTCTTATGTGAGTAAATATGTGCTGATAGAACAGCTTGTTAATAAATTGCTATTTCTTCCTTGAGGACAATTCAATGGTTGCTAAGGATAATCCTTATCGAAAGAGAAGTACGATGGACTCACACTGTAATCTTTTATATAATTATCGTAGGTGATTTTTATCTTTGGTCACTTCGATTTTTTTCACCTCTTATGTGAGTAAATATGTGCTGATAGAACAGCTTGTTAATAAATTACTATTTCTTCCTTGAGGATGATTTAGTGGTTGCTAAGGTTAACCCTTATCGAAAAAGAAGTACGATGGACTCACACTGTAATCTTTTATATAATTATGCTAGGTAATTTTTATCTTTGGTCACTTTGACTTTCTTCACCTCTTATGTGACTAACTATGTGCTAATAGAACAGCATGTTAATAAACTACTAATTTTGCATCTCCTTAAAAATAATGTAATGGCTCTAACTCTTCTGTAAAAGAAGTCCAGTCGACTCTCACATCTAATCTTTTATAAAATTATTTTTTTTATAATTATCATAATCTGCTGGATAACGTATGTTTTCAACTATGTTAACATTTTATCCATTCATGCATTAAAACCTAGCGAATTCGAAAATATAAAAAAATTGAAGTGTATAAAACTTGAAAATTGGAAAATGTGGAAGTGTGATGATGTGATAAGTTCCATATGTATTGCCTCTTTCCGCATGTTTATTTGTAGTAGGCACATGGAGGAACGTATCGTTTATGCTTGTATGAATATTCATATCCGAATGAATGTTTTGGTTATTTTGACGTGTGGATTGACGAAAGCAATATCGATGAATTCAGCGTTTGGAAAACAGGAAGAAACATAAATAACTTTATTCTATTGACCAGGTAAACTTGTTCCTTGCGTTGCCGCGTCTATATTTCATTAAAATAAAAGTTGTCCGAAAGAACAACATTTGACATGCATGATTTCATATTTGCTACAAAACACGTATGACTTTTTATGAAAGAATGAATAACAAAAATGTTTGATTGTCGCGCTGCAGAAAATTATATCGTACAATATGCACGATTCATATTCATTTAAAACCGCTAAAACAGCGGTGAATAAAACAATGTCGTATCCAATATTGAACAAACACGCGTATTAATCGAAATGTAAAAAACGAGCGTTTTTTATGAATTTCCCAGAAATTCGTGAAACGAATCGTTTGTTTTCTGTCCACCGGGTAAACTTTTAAAAAGATTTCTACGAAATGGAAAAACAGATTAGATTACTGCAAAATAATGGATTTCGAAATATAGAAAGCTTCGTACGAATTTGTGACGTCAGAGTACGATGTAATACATCAATTTCAACTTTAAAATTTAATGAAAACGACTATGTAAACGTTTCATTAATATTCATGTTACAAAATGGCCGCCTTTTCGTTCGAATAATGGACCAATCAATTTTCTGCTTTACCATTCGCGAATATTCAATTAGCACGTTTCAAAATTATTATTCGATTACTACGTTTCAAATTTCTTATTTTTATCGTAGGATATACTTGCCTCAAAAGGCGCGAAATTCAAAATTCTTATAAGGTATATTTTCATCATAGCTTGCCATCATAATAGTTTCATTTCTTACTTTTATCATAGAAAATGTACTTGTCCCAAAAGGCGCGAAATTCAAAATTCTTATACGGTATATTTTCATCATAGCTTGCCATCATAATAGTTTCATCATTTTTTACTTTTATTATAGAAAATATACTTGTCTCAAAAGGCGCGAAATTCGTAATTCAAAATTCTTATAAGGTATATTTTCATCATAGCTTGCCATCATAATAGTTTCATTATTTCTTACTTTTATTATAGAAAATATACTTGTCTCAAAAGGCGCGTAATTCAAAATTCTTATAAGGTATATTTTCATCATAGCTTGCCATCATAATAGTTTCATCATTTCTTACTTTTATCATAGAAAATATACTTGTCTCAAAAGGCGCGTAATTCAAAATTCTTATAAGGTATATTTTCATCATAGCTTGCCATCATAATAGTTTCATTATTTCTTACTTTTATCATAGAAAATATACTTGTCCCAACAGGCGGGAAATTCAAAATTCTCATAAGGTAAAGAATATTTCCATAGACTGTACTCCTGATTGAATGCCATCAGATTATTAGGCAATTCGGGAAAAGCCCTCCGTTATCGATCCAAAGCTTTTATATTGACCTTTAGTCGCGATCCGGTGATTTTTTATGCTAAAAGAGAACCCTAGGGAACGTCTCGCGCGTTTGACGTCGGTGCGCGGCTCCTCCGCTTTTTTCCCCTTTCATTTTCTCTTTCTCTTGCTCTTCTCTCTCGCTCTTTTTCTACCAACCCCGTGATCCTGGCACCGCATTCTGGTATTCCGGATACGAGCTACGTTATACTGTACCCACGGGAGGTATATCTACCCCAAATGGTCTGCACTCGTTCCGCCATATTGATTTAAATTATTAATTGCGAACTTTCCCTCGACGAATGGAGTGCACGTTTAATGGTTAGGTACTGCTGGAATACAAGTACATTTTGACCAAAGGGTGGCCATTATTTATACACTTCGCGATAGCGTGGTCGAATTTCTACGCTTCGGACTTCGTTTACCTTTGTTCGCCAGTTACGATCATTTACGGTCATTCCTCTGGTAGTTTCGAAATTTAGAACATAAGGGTATAAGGATACAAAGATTTAAATGTAGAAACGAAACTTTGATATTTAGAAATTTGGTACTTTCAAAACATCAGAAACATATGACTCTAGTAACAATAGCTAAACATATGACATATCAAACATATGACTCTAGCAGCAATAGCTAAACATATGACATACGAAACACGACTCTAGCAACAATAGCTAAAGAGCAACCAGTTGCTCCACGAGTGTGCACGACATAATCATACACAGATTTAATGACGCAGAAATTTGGTAACTATGTAGGAAGTTTCAAAACATCAAAAAGATGAAAATTTGTAACTCCAATAAGATAACCAGAGTGTCCAGATGAAATAGGTATCAAAGACGAACCTTTTTATTCTCCGTCTTGCTGCCTCTCGAGGAGGTCTTAGAGAAGATGCTGTCCTGGTCGTTGCTGCCCGCGGAGGCGGTGGCAGCTCCTCGTCCTGTGGCGTCCTGGTTGAGCAGGGGCACCGTGCCGAGTTCCGGTACCGCATAATCGTACAATGTGTCAACTGCACCGTTCGCGTACACCGCTGTGGATGATATAGCAAAGGAGGAACGGGCGTAGAACAGAACAGGAGGGGGTGGTTGAACGGTGTATTGATTGCGGTCAGGCGAATGCTTTGTTGTTTGGTACATACGTACGTGTACCGGATAGAGGCTCGTACCGGGCGTTTAATGTGTCCCGGTATAAATATACGCGGTGCACGCACGTGTGCACGCAAAACAACGCGCGCAACCGTGTGTTCGGGAACGGCATACCTGAGTGATTGATGTTGCTGCCCTTGTTGTTCAGCATCATGTCTTTCATCTCCATAACGACGGTGCTGTAGCTGTAGTACGGCGCGTACTTTAATGCCTGGTAGGGTTCTTGATAGTCGTCGAGCTTTACGATGTCCAAAAGACGGTTCCCCAGGTCCCGCGGCAACGTCGGCAGCGAACCACCGGCGTATCTTGAAACAGAACATCGGACTCAACCTACGTCTCCATGGGATTCAGCTTTGCCGAGCCATATGGGATTGTCGACCATGTGAAACCGACGTCTGCTATCTTTTGTCTGACTATGGTTATGCAGGAGGTACTAATTTTATTCATTCTTGAGAGTCTTTGCTCGTCTAGGTGTAACTTTGAAATATTACTCAGTGGACTTATCTTTCAACTAATCAGATTTCTTTAAAAATTTGACCATCGATTCATAAATGATATATGATCTCTAATCAATGATCAAGTTTCGATTTAATTTTGACGAATTTTTAAAATATAAATAACAAAGAGTATAACTTAGTCTTTGAACCCCATTGGTATGCTACGTCTTCCACTCTAAATAAAATCCTTTTAATACAGTTCCAATACTACTTGACTCCGAACATAAAAGCACGGTTATAAAACTTTTCTATAAAATTCGCCATCAAAGTGTTAAGCTAACAGTAATTCCCGTTTCGTCCTTGCCAATGCTCGGAATCCACAAAACAAGTAGTAAAGTCGACGGTACATCAGACGCGGATTACCGTGGAATTTACTGATACTTGTAGCTCGCTGACGATTTACGAGCCGTTAAAAAGAGAACGACGGGTAATAGCGTACGAAGACCATACGTCCAAGTGGATGGTCCGTTAACGTGAACACCTAGAAAGGTCTTTAAAAGCGTCTTTTGTAGCTGGTGTATCGTCGTTCGAGTGGCAACGTTTTTTCCTCGAACTGCAGTTTCAAGTGTACGTCAGATATTCGTCAAAGGGTAAAACGTTGGGAAAACGCGTGCTCGAAACGCCTGCAACGTGTTCCTGTTTCGGGACGGCAATATCAGGTTGCACAAAGCGGTAACAAGGTTGAAGATCACTGTTGAAACGTGCAGGTCGCGGGCAAGTTACGATGGCTCGAGGATCCAGTCTGGAGACATTCGTGCCATACAAACTCGATATATTGCCCGAGGATGTCCGTTATTGGACGTTATTGGACATCCACTAACGAGCACGACGGATGGAAAGTTTATTGGAAGGTGGCTTCCGTCGTCATGGAGTATCGTGAATGCTTGTAAAAGTTAGAGAGACGTTGCCTCGCCGGTTATTGGAACATTTTCATAGCCGAGCTGAACGCTTTTACGGCTCGTCTGATACGGAATAACTATTTTCTTATACGTCGGTAAATATACCGTGGTCCACTGAGTTTAGTTGGCTAACAACGGTAGAATGTATCTGAATAAGGTAGGATGTGCTAGAATATGAATTAACCTTTGCTACGATTATTGCAACAATAGTTTTGTCGAACTTAAACTTACAAGTGGTTAAACACTTTACATTGAACTTTGGTTTGAGTCAAGATAAGAATGCAATACTAATAAATTGTGACGATTGAAAAATTGTTTTAATTTCTTTCGTAATAGAAATTGAGTTTCGATCAACACTAGCGAATGGTGTTATGAGGTTGCTCTTAGTAATAGGAATGTAGGAACGCGAAGAGGTATTCACTGAGGTCTCCCGCGCAGATGCGCGCATGCCACCTCTTCAACATGAAGCAAATAAAATTAATGGAAAAGCATCATTATTACTGTTCTGTATTTATGTATTTCTATAATTAATTAATGCAGTTTTAGTATCCATAAATTGTACTCAAAACATGAATAATATGGTATTTCTTTATTACAATGATTTGTTCTGCGAGACGCCATATTGGAAAGCTGACACAAGGACCTACTGCGCATGCGCAGTAAGTAATACACCGAATACCTCCTCGATTTTTAATTTTACAGATATTTAATGATACATAAATTAATAGAACAAATTATCAATATGACCACAGGATTCTTAATAACTATTTTCAACTAAATGCCTAATTCCTGTTAAAAACATGAGACATGTTTTTTAATTAAAATCAATCGCAACATTACTTTGCATGGTTCAACTTGCGGCTACCAAATATTTTATAATACTACTTCCTCGTTAACAAAGTACTCGAAACATTTCATGCATCTTCGAATAAAATAGGAAAATAACAATAAAATAAACATAAAATAAGGAAATATACCTTTCGTCGTCCTCAAGAGTATACGCCATCAGTGCAGCTCCTTTTTCAACGGTGGCGCAGGTAGATCCAAGATGCGATGGCGCCTTGCCGGTCATGGGGCTTGCGAAACACTTGCGTTGCCTGTGTCTCGAGACAATCAGAAATATCGCCACGGCGAGCAGAAGGATCACGGCGGTTAGCACGCCGATCACGACCGCCATGTACGTCGGGTCGTCGTGCTTAGCTGTCGAGACCGGAAGTTCACCCTCTGCAGCACCGTTTTTCTCCACGAAGACGTCGCTCTGAATAGGTGACTCAGTTGTCGGTGCTTCCTCTGGCGTGAAGTTACCGTGAGCCACATCTGCGTTCGAATCAAATCATCACACTTATAAAACGTTTATTAAACCATCAAGCTTTAAGCCATCAATCTTATCACATTATTTCGGGGTTTGATGACGTATAATATTTATACAGTACAATGATGTACAATATCTATGCAAGTGTCATTTTGCATTAATTTTAATCAGGTTAGACTTTGTATGTTATAAAATCAGTCATTGTTTGCGATGACTGACCACCAGCCATTTTAAACCAATTTTTTATGAAATGTTCGTATACATAATATAAGTGTTATTTTGTATTAAGTTTAATCAGGTTGTGTTAGACTTTGTATGTTATAAAATCAGTCATCAACTGACTGATTATTTATAGACTGACTATCAATCAGTTTATACAAATTATTGATGTATGTTCATATAATCATTATTTTAATCCTACAGCTACAAATTGAAGCTGCCGTATATGACACGTGGATGCTGATTTGTATTAGTTCTATGAGATTAGACATTTCTATATTACTTTCATTTAGTTACTTTTAAAGTAACATGCCACTTGATGTATCGTAACTGACCTCTCCTAAAAATCTGAACAAAGTCAGAAAATAATTATCCGTTGATAGAGGTTCGGAAAAAAATCCATACAGTAGGATGGTTAAAGTTTCTTGTTGACGGTGAACATTCGGGGCAGAAAAGTATTAACGCACGAACCAGTGAGTAAACGCGGAATCATTAAACGGAAAGAAGGCACTCGAGTGCATGTAGAGCGCATAATTAACCCATATGCGTTCCGATGAAAAAATTGCACAGCTTTCCGCGGGAATTTTTCCATTTGCTTGATTGAAACGCCACTGAACGATCCAGTTGTCTAATTACCGTCCTGTTCTTCGAAATCCCTCGCGGGGTGTTTTTTTTTTAGTAATTTCCGGTTACACTCCTGAACCGGCGAAGCTTCCGCTTTTGAGGAGCGAAACAGTGGAACGAAAAATATTCCGACTACTTCTCTTTCTCGCTTTTTTTCCAGCGACGCGAAGGTGCGACAGAACTCGCGTTCCGTGCTGTCACAACAATTAAACGAAGCACACGGGGGCACGAACGAATTTTCTTGACGCGAGAAACGGCACACGTGTTTCTCGTATCCTTTTATCTCGTTCGTTATTCAAATAATTCACACACCGTGTAAAGAGACTCGCGTGGCACGAAATTAGTTTTCCCGGCTTAATTGATAAACTTAAAATTTCATCGGGGTCGAGAACTTTGTGCGATCCCAGAAGATTCTCTTTACCAGTTAACACCGTGCATATGAACTATCTGTTTTTTAAAATTCATAACTAGTTTTTTAAATAACTGGAAGTACTAAATATGGTCGAGTTGATGTGTTAAATTATTACCACAATTTTTTTGGAATAATCAGAAGCCTTGTATGAATATAATTTACTTTAAAGAAATTAAAATGTAGGCAGAGAATACTATTACTAAGGAAAAACACGAACCAATTAGAGCGCGAGGATTATTATGCGTTGGACTACCATGCGTCGAATATCCACGCGTTGGATTACTACGCGTTGGATATCCACATGCTGGATAACTACGCGTTAGATTACCACGCATTAGATTCCTACGCTTAGAATTACCACGCGTTTGATTACTACGCGTAGAATATACACGCGCTAGATTACTCCGCGTTGGATATCTACACGCTGTATTAGTACGCGTAGAATTACTACGCATTTGATTACTACGCGTAGGATTACCACGCGTTGCATCACCACACGTTGCATTACTACGCGTTGGATAACTACGCGTTATCCGAAGCTGCCGTTCTCGCGTCTGCGCACGCGTAATCCTCGCGCCCT